CCTTAGAACAGGCCAAAAGTAACCTTAGAACAGGCCAAAAGGTAACCTTAAAACAGGCCAAAAGGTAACCTTAGAACAGGCCAAAAGTAACCTTAGAACAGGCCAAAAGGTAACCTTAAAACAGGCCAAAAGGTAACCTTAGAACAGGCCAAAAGTAACCTTAGAACAGGCCAAAAGGTAACCCTTTCGCATCTAGCCCATTGTACATAGAACAGGCCAAAAGGTAACATTAGAACAGGCCAAATGGTAACCTTCTAACATCTAGGCCATTGTACCTAGAACAGGCCAAAAAGTAACGTTCTATAATCTAGCCTATTGTACTTAGAACAGGCCAAAAGGTAACCTTCTCGTACCTAGCCCATTGTACCTAGAACAGGCCAAAAAGTAACTTTCTATAATCTAGCCCATTGTACTTAGAACAGCCCAAAAGGTAACCTTAGAACAGGCCAAAAGTAACGTTCTCGCATCTAACCTATTGTATTTATAAAATTGAATGGTTTACGCTCCAGTATACACAGTTTAGACAGGTTAGTTAGGAGACGGGCTATTTCGGACATGCCAGTCAGGGCCAACACCGGCTGAGAGGGGTGCAACACCCCTGGGGAAAAAATCCAACATAACAAATAGAACAAAACAAAACCGGAGGTTGAGCGGTAAAGGAGGGGGATATCTTATCTATCTTATCTCATCTTAACTCAGTCCTCCCCTAAGCTTAGCGTACCGTATCGTATCGTGTCGTATCTTATCTTAACATGTCTCCTCTTAGTTTAGCGTGTCGTATCGTATTTTACCCCAACCCATCTCCTCTTTCCTTAGCCTATCGTATCTTATCTCATCTCATCGCATGGTAGGCCTATCTTATTCTATCTTACATCATCATATCTCATCTTATATTAACTCAATTTTCCCCTTAGCGTACCATACCGTATCGTATCGTATCTTACCTCAACTGATCTCCTGTTTTAGTTTTAGTAGAAGTTTTACGGCGCTCCTCTTAGCTTAGCCTATCATATCTTATCCCATCTCATCTCATCGTACCCCCCATCCCAACCCAGATACGACATCTACCAAAACGGCTGATGCACCATATCATTGCATCGTATCCTATTTTAGCTAATATTCCATTTCATCTCCCCCCCCCCTCCCTCCATATACGACATCTACCAGAACGGCTCATGCACCATCTCATTGCATCGTATCCTATCTTATCTAATATTCTATCTCATCACCCCCTCCCCCTTCCACCCCCCCCCCTTCAGATACGACATCTACCAGAACGGGTCTTGCACCACCCGAGAGCCCACCCTGGACTACCTGGGCTTTATGCGGCGAGGCACCGATGGCCGGCCGGCACTGACCACGGTCAACCAGGTCTTCCGCTTCGGCCGCTCCTTCCAGCAGACCTACGTGGGCACGGCAACGGTCAGGGGGATCCCCACCAACCACTGGACCTCATGTCAGGTCAGGACCCCACCGCCCACCCCCTCATTTCTTCAAACCCTCCTCCCCACTCCCCCAACCCCATCCCCGACGATGTTGTTAGTAGCCTGTATACAGTCTAGAACGTATAATAATATAGCGGCGAAATCAGCGGAACACTAAAGCCTTTTCGCTGTATACGAATTTCGTCATGTACAAGTTTTAAACACAAATAATATAATGTATGAGAAATGCGTGAAATTAAATAAATAAATAAATGAATGAATGAAAGAATGAATGAATGAAAGAATGATGGTTGTTATTTTCCCTGTGCCCCCCCCCCCCTCCGGAGTGGCCTGCTCTAGGCGCCAAGTTCCAACTAGACTACTACTTTTCCCACCCAGACTACCAGACGGCAGAGACAGACAGACAGACAGTTTTTAGTTTTAGTAGAGGTTTTACGGTGCTCGTAACTGCATAAGGTCATATGAGCGCAAGAAGATGAGAGATTTACAAGAGAGTAACAAACATATAAAAGAAGAAGGGGAGATCAGGACGATAGATGTTGGATAGGAAAGAAGAAGCAAACCACACAAGAGCACCCGCCAACCACTCACGACAGACAGACAGACAGACAGACAGACAGACAGACAGACAGACAGACAAAATGAATGAATGATGAATGAATAACCGTTTTTCTCTGTCTCCCCCCCCCCCCCCCTCTTTCTCTCTCTCTCTCTCTCTCTCTCTCTCTCTCTCTCCCTCCAGGAGTGGCCAGCCCTAGGCGCCAAGTTTCAGCTAGACTACTACTTCTCCCACCCCGACTACGAGACAGCCTCAGGTCTGACCCAGATCCCTGTGCGAGCCGTACTCAACGGGTCCGCCCACAACTTTGGCATGTTCC